TTTTTTTTTTTTTTTTTTTTGAGCACATTGGAAGTGGAAGCAGTGATTAGAGGTCCACAAACAGTATAGCAAAGTTGGCTGAATATTGGAGTTGTTTCTGTTTTGGAGAAATATTTGCTGTTCAAGAGTGAATATCTTAGCATGCACCTTCTGGGTGTGTAGTTTCCACCAAGTAAATGAGTGAAGTCCTGACTACGTACCTACTAAACACATCCTTTCCTGTCATACAATCTCTTCCAGGAAAATCAAGCCTGTAAAATTGAGGAACACAAAAGTTAAGGTAGTCTTGGTTGATCACAGTTTCATCGTAGGCAGTCTAAGGTGAGGTAGTATTGTGGTTTTGTTTGGCACTTCTAGCTAGCACTTTGGCTGGAGACAAATGGTTTTCATTTTGAAATTTCTGGACCAAACTTGTGAAATTAAGCTGTTCATTTTCTGACCTTTCAGTGACCTCACCACAACATGGGTTTCATATAATAATGTAAATTATTTTCTACATCACTCATGCATCAGGTGCTGCAGAACAATCCTTTTCTACACCATTACTCTCATTTGCTAATCAGAAGCTGGTTGGCTGATAGCTATCTGGGCAGAAAGATTTTGAGTGGAAGAGCTAGACTAGGAGCATTTTGGGAAGAGGAAGGGCAGACAAAGAGAGTTACCAGAGATAAGCAAATTGAGAATGTTGACCTAAGAAAAGGTACCAAGTCACATGTCTAAACAGAGATAAGAGTTATTCATTAATGAAAGAGTAAGAGTTAGTAACAAGCCTGAGCTATTGTCTGAGCATTGATGAATAATATTAATCCTCTGGTTTGGCTATTTGGTATTAATCAGTTAGGATAGGATAACATCTGTTTAAAATCAGATCATCAACTGGCTTCATTATAACTTCAATTTTGGAGTAGCAAGATGCCTTAGCAGGTAATGATTTATGGCAAAACCTGAAAAACTGAGTTCAAATTTCTACAGCCCACATTAGGCCAAATGCAGTAACACACACCTGCAATCCAAGGCCTCCTACAGATATGGGAGGCAGAGACAGGAGTATCATCCAACACAGTAGCAAAGAATAAAATGAACTGCCTCAAGGAAGGTAGAAGGCGAGACTGGCGCCTATATTGCATACATATATGTGGGGTGTCATTCCTCAGACACCGTCCACCTTGTGACAGTTTCTCAGTCACTAAAAATAATTATTGGTACAGGCCAGTTGGCCAGTGAGCCCTAGGATCTCTCTGTCTCAGTTTCATCAACACCAAGATTAACAAAAATGTGCCACTTTGCTTTGCTTAAACATTTTATGTGCGTTCTGTGGGAATTGAACTCTTGAACTCAGGTCCTTCTGCCTACCTGGTAAGTACTTCATCCACTAAGATATTTCTATAGGCTCACTTTAGTTTTTGTTGAATAGCTCCAAAGGTAAGAAATAACACATTTTTTCTTAGTTGAAACATTACTATTATAAATTATAACATCTAATTATTGGCTTCAATTCTGCTCAGTGAAGGAGCAGAGAATAAAACCACCGATATTACAGTGTCTGGGTTTACCTATTGAGGACAGACATAACAATCTGCTTATATTCTTCTTCTAGTAAAATATTTCATTTTTTAAAACTATAGCCTACACAGCAATGTTCAGAGGTATCCCTGGAATGTTCTCTGGTGACACAAATAATGCCATCATCAGAGCTCAACTCAGTGTTCCAAATACATGAGAGTCATACACAATGCAGGTGAACTAACATCTGTCACCGAGTTGGACCTGTCACCCAGACATTGTCCCTTCCTCACTTGCTAATTCAGTACTTTATTGATTGATATGTTGGTGTTGTAAGGTGAATGGAAGCAACTTCCTATACTGCTGACAACTAGATAAAGGGCACCAATGAGAGTGTAGCTTCAGCATGGTGTCATATGGGACCTAGGAACTGGTTATGACCCAGACATTAACTTTCTCTGGTACGCTATTGAAAATTTCCAACTGTCATGCATATTGCATGGCTGTAACTTTTAAAATTAATATCATCTGTACTATTGACATTATTAAGATATTGATAGACTAATGTCAGCCAAAATAGTTGAAGTACTTTAGAGAAGAAAGACACTGTGAAGATATTCATTTATTTTATATGTATGTCTCTGAAACTAACTTTAAATATGCTTGCCTTGTTCTACAGGAAATTCGTGAAGCTTTTGAGAAGGAGGCTAAGGAGAACAACAAGCCCAGGTTGATGATAACTGCGGCTGTAGCTGCTGGCGTTTCCAACATTGAGGCTGGCTATGAGATCCGTGAACTTTCCCAGTGAGTGATGTACTTATTCCAAACGTCTGTGGGAACTGTTAAAGCACTGCGGTGGTCAGTCTAGAGATGTCTTGCACTCAAAAGACATTGCTTGTGTACTTGCTTTGGAAAAGGTGTTATTGTCTGCATAGATATAAGAAACAGTTATCAGAAATGATTTTAAATCTTATTATCTGTCAGGTACCTAGATCAAATCCATGTCATGACATATGACCTCAATGGCTCCTGGGATGGCTTCACAGGAGAGAATAGTTCCCTCTACAAATACTCTACTGACACCGGCAGCAATGCTTACTTCAATGTGGTAAGACCCTACAGGAATACAGACTGGGGGTAAAGTAAACCATATGGAAATAAGGCCCCCAATTTACATAAGTTCAGCAACTATCCAATTTAGATAAAGATCCTCTTAATTTACAGGCCATATCTCATGAACTATAACTTCATCAAAAGTTTTTGAAAAGAAAATATCAAGGAATAAATTGATTGGTTATGAACATCATATAATATGCCTGCTAAAACAGGGAGCTAATATAATTAAATGCTGACTACTGACTGTTTGGGTCCTTTACCTAACCTACATTACAGGAGTATGCCATGAATTCCTGGAAGAACAATGGAGTCCCAGCTGAGAAGCTCATTGTTGGATTCCCAGAATATGGACACAATTTCCTCCTGAGCAACCCCTCCAATAATGGAATTGGTGCCCCTACCTCTGGTGCTGGCCCTGCTGGACCCTATACCAGGGAGGCTGGGTTCTGGGCCTACTATGAGGTCAGTAGATTGGCTGTCTAGTGCTCTGTGAATTTCACACCCAACATTTTACACGGCCTTCAATTTAGTATCTCCTGGATCTGAAAGTTCATTTTGCCTATTACCTACCTGTAGTTAGCAGTTCACTCCTGGTTCTGTATGTTTGGAAAACATACTTCTATATTTAATCCAAATAATGTTCCTATAAGCAAAAGATTGTGCTACTAAGGACAGTTACATTAGCCTATAAAGAAACAAAATGAACATATTTATCATTCTACTGTGGATTCCAAAATTCTAGCACTAAAGCATGGATAAGAAGAATTTGATAAATAACTCACTCTGGGAATGTAGCTCAGTGGTACAGCATTTACCTAGAATGCTAACAGCCCTGGATTTAATCCCTAGTTGCATAGGACAAAATGAAGTAGGATCATGTTGTACAATACTTTTCGTTAAAAAATTTTCCCAGGCTTGGTTGCTCATTCTTTTAATTTGAACATTCAGGAAGCTGAAGCAGGATAATTCTAAGGCCAAAACAAAGCATAGACAAAGTCTACCTTAAAAATGGAAGATTAGCGAGACCGGTTTTAGCGGACAATGAGGACTACTGAGACCTCAAGAACAATGGCAATGGGTTTTTGATCCTACTGCACCTATTGGTTTTGTGGGAGCCTAGGCAGTTTGGATGCTCACCTTACTAGACCTGGATGGAGGTGGGTGGTCCTTGGACTTCCCATAGGGCAGGGAACCCTGATTGCTCTTTGGGCTGATGAGGGAGGGGGACTTGATTGGGGGAGGGGGAGTGAAAGGGGAGGCGGCGGTGGGGAAGAGACAGAAATCTTTAATAAATAAATAAATAAATAAATAAATAAATAAATGGAAGATTAGGGGTGTGATGTAGCTCAGTGATAGTCTGTACTGAGCAAGTCCATGTCCTGGGTCCATCGCCACCACTGCTATGATGAGAACAACTTATTTTTTTAACCACAAACAAAACTGAATCATAAAATTGAGGTAACCCCAACTGAAAGTAAGAAAGGAAAGAAATCAATGTTTCTCTCTTTCATGGAATTAATATGTGAAGGGTTTAAATCTCTTGCTGTTTAAAGATTTGCAGCTTCCTGAGAAATGGAGCCACTGAAGTCTGGGATGCCTCTCGGGAAGTTCCCTATGCATATAAAGGCAATGAGTGGGTTGGCTATGACAATGTCAGGAGCTTCGATGTCAAGGTAAGGTCAGCTCCTTGGATTTGCTGACATCACAGCACCAAGGCTCAGGAAATCAAATTAACCTTACACCTTCTATCTTTAAACAGACTCAGTGGCTTAAGCAGAACAATTTTGGAGGTGCCATGATCTGGGCTATTGATCTTGATGACTTCACTGGCCTTTTCTGTGGCCAGGGCAAATTCCCTCTGACTTCTACTCTTAACAAAGCCCTGGGTGTGTCCACAAGTAAGTGATGACCTGAGTATGCAGATGGTGTGTTTCTAATGTCCCTTTATCAATATAAAGGCAGGCTTGGCATGCTCACCCCCACTCCATGGGGCATACTCTTCCCATTCCATTCCCTTGTTCTTGCCCAGGTGACCCTTTCTAAGTCTCAACTTCTAAGGGAATTTTGGGAAACCAGACCTAACATTGGAGTGTGTGGGAAAAATTTCCTAGGACTTCAAAGTTTGTAAGAGTCTGCAGAAATTGTGCTTATCTTTAGCATCCAAATCTCTGTGTGTCCATTAATGAGTGTGTGTGGACCTCATTCAATGTCCTGCTTAGCCTCCTGGAAGAATTAACAGGAAGCCAGGCCAGTGCTCTTATTTAGTCACCCTTCAGGGAATGTCTCCATTTCCCTAACTGTTTCTACAATTTTTTTCTCAGAGGTATTTATATTCAAATCTTCAAACCTTTTTCATGTGTTAATTACTGAATGCCTTGGATGACAAAGGAGACATATATAGAAATTAGGACTTGATCCACACTTTTTCTTATTTCCTGATACGTAATTGTCTTTGAGTTTTTTTTTTTCAGTTGTGAAATTGCAGCTAATTGCATCTTCTCCTGGGAATGATGTACCTAGTTTTCTTTACTTTCACTTGAAGTTCATGACCACAGCAGGACCACCCCTCTACTCTCTCTATTTGTATATTTTAGGCTGCACAACCCCTGATGTGCCTCCGGAGCCAGTGACTTCTCCTCCAGGAAGCAGAAGTAGGAGGCATAATGGGTGTGGGTGCTCTGGAGGCTGTGGATTCTGTGCTGGCAAACCTGATGGCCTGTATCCTGTGGCCTATGACAGACATGCCTTCTGGCACTGCTCCAATGGAATCTCATACCTGAAGTACTGTCCAGACTGCCTTGTCTTTGATCCCAGCTGTAATTGCTGTAACTGGCCATGAACCTGACTCTGTCCTGCTTTTCTAAACTTCTGTACTTTCCACTATGCCTTGACAAAGACATTTTGCTTCCATCTAAAGCTATGTAATAAAATCAGCTGCCAAAACATGGGTTTCCTTAATTTTTATGATTTAGTGGGAAACTGGTCTCCATTTAAATACCAGCTGTGTGTGTGGGAAAGGAGAGGAGAAGAGAGGAGGGGGAGAGAGAGAGAGAGAGAGAGAGAGAGAGAGAGAGAGAGAGAGAGAGAGAGAGAGAGAGAGAGAGAGGAGAGATAATATATGATCCAGCAAAGCCACTTTTAGGTATATATCCAAAAGAATTGAACTGATAGACTCTGGAAGACATCTGAAGCTTGGTGATGGGCCAGTAGCCCTGAGACCATTTCTCCAACTGTAGAGGTTACACAGTGCTGCTTGCATTGCTGAGGAATGATTCAAGACTTTCTCCCATTCCTCTTGGGGATATGTTGCTGTTCTAGCATCCCTGGAGTTGGAAGCAGTGGCTAAATACATTGCCATAAAGTACTTTTTGGACGCCTGCACAGCAAAGAGACTTGTAGGTGTCTTTATCAAGAGTATCCAACTCACCCCTAGTGATTTCGTGTCTTTAAAGCTTTACCAGAGAAGCTTTGTTCAGAGGTAGATGGCAATTAACACAGACTGGTCAATATGTAGAAAATAAGAAACTGTGGAATGCTTATCCCTAAATGAGATATCTACATCACACCCATCCTCCTGAGAGTCACGGATAATCATAGAAAAGGTTCTCAAAAAATTGTAAGAGTCATAGTTAGTGGATTAAACATAAGGAACAATGATTTTTGGATACCACAAGGCATATGTACATATGATGTCACAAAAGTTGTGACATTATGCACAAGAACAGCAATCCAGTAAGCACCCTCCATAACTTCTACATCAGTTCTTGCCTCCAGGTTCCTGCCCTGTTTGAAATTTTGTCTGACTTCCTTTCAGTGATGGACTGTGATATGGAAATATAAGCTAAAGAAACCCCTTCCTCCCAAGTTTACTTAGGTTACAGTGTTTCATTGCAGCAACAGAAACTCTAAGTTGATCTAGGACCAGGATAGTGGGGTATTGTTGCGACAAACCTGATTATGTCATTTTGGGAAGGATTGTGGAAGGACTTTGGATCTTCAGGCTACAAAAGCCATTGAGTGTTAAGAGCTCAGTGAAACATTTTGTGGGAGCTTGGGAGATAAGAATGTTGAGAGCAGAGCAATGATAGAGGTATGGGTTGTAAAGTTTCAGAGAGATATTTAAAGAGTATCAGGGCTATTTGTTATTTTGAATTAAGATTCTGTGGTTCTCTGGAAACAACCTAGATGCCCTTCAATGGAAGAATGGATGAAGAAAGTGTGGAATATATACACATTAGAGTATTATGCTGCAGTAAAAAACAATGACTTCTCGAATTTTGCATGCAAATGGATGGAAATAGAAAACACTATCCTGAGCGAGGTAACCCAGACCCAAAAAGATGAACATGGGATGTATTCACTCATAATTGGCTTCTAGCCATAAATAAAGGTCACGGAGTGTATACCTGGTGAACCTAACGAAGC